CGCCCCCCCCCCCCCCTCTCTCTCTCCGTCCCGCGAGTACTTGGCTTCCATACCCTTCTCTCTCCCTTTCTTTTGTTATCGTCCCTCTCGGCGTGTGCTCTTTTTTTGTTCCACGGCTGCCGTTCTAGGCGGAGCGGCTCGGGTTTCGAGTGTCCGTGGAGGCGCCGTTTCCGCCCACGCTGTACACGGGGCCCCTGGAGTTCCACTACGGAGGAGGGATGCCGACGGTTAGACACACCAAGGGGGACGGCAGCTGGAGGCTTCACCCCTCGTGGACTGAGCCTTTCGACCCTGAGCATGACAAGGTAGGTAGTCGATGGGCTAATGTTGGTCGCTGTTGTTGTTATTGTTGTTACTGTTGGTGGTGGTGGAGTGTTGTTGTCGTGATTGCTGCTGCTGCTGCTGCTGCTGCTGCTGCTGCTGCTGTTGTCGTCGTCTTTCTGAAGGGTTGCCGATGCCAATACCGCTGTCCTTGCTAGTGATGAGCGCCCGACACTGGCGTGCATGTGGAATTTGTTGTATGCACGACGACTCAAGGGACCAGAGTGAAAGCATGCCAATGCTGTAGGGTACACGGGAGAACGACAACCGTGACCGATAACGACTCGCTGCGTTTTAATACTGCTACAAGGACCGGGACCCGCTTTGATTGAAGCCTCGTGGGTGTGCCTTCGCCCCAGTAGTCTACGCAGGTTTTCTCAGTAAGCAAACATGTTGGATACCGTAGATAAGGCTAGTTAGGGAAAGGTTTAGGATCTGTATGCCCCCCTCCTGGTTCTCTTGTCGTGTTAAACTTGCTTTCTTTGGGTTTACAGTCCCTTCGCCCTCTTCGCCCCCAGGAGTCAGCAGGGTTTGCCAAACCTCGCGGAATTCTCGACGACAGCTTTATCTTGTGTTGATTCCAGCAGGCAAGATCCGTGTCTCTGGGGCCCGTCTCTCGCCACCTGTGATGAAACATCTCACATCCCACTCTTAATACATGCACCTTGGCATTGGAACGTGTGCGGTGCCCCTCCAACCCCCGTTCCCTCGTGGCCCCATCTGTGACCTACCCTCCTGTGGCTCATTTCCAGATCCAGCTGGTCCCGAACCTCCTGGAGACATTCTGCAGGGCTTTCCTGTCAGAGCAGGCGGGGGCCGCCCACGCGGGCCGCTACGGGGAGGCCGAGTGCCAGGTCAGCGGCGACTGTCCCCTCGAGCAGTGTCAAGAATCTCCCTCAAAAAGCGCCGACAACAGCCACGACAACGATGCCGACAAGAGTCGTGGTGGCTTAGAAGGAGGTCGTGTTCGGCCGGGAAAGGATTCTGAGGAATATTCTGGGAACGTTCTCCGTTCCGCGTCGGCGTCGTCGGCGTCGTCGGTGACGACGTCATCATCGTCCGCTGTGCAGCGCCCGGAGTGCGTGAGGGGGCGCTGCGGCTGCCCTGCTGGCTTCCACCACATCGCCCTTGACGTGGGCCTTGAGAGGTGTGTGTGTGTAAATGCATGCCGCAGTCGTTTGACCAATTGACTTCGCATCCCTACAAGGCCGGGATTGAGCGAAAAGCTGCACTCGAACAACCGCATGCCGTGGACGTTATATCCATTGACTTCGTATCCCTACAATGCCGAGATGGAACGATATGCGCCCTGCAATCAACTCATGCCGCAGTCACAAGACTATTGCCCTCGCATCCCATCAATTCCCATCAATGCGGGGGTGGAACGATACCTGCACTCAAGTGAGCGCATGCCGTAGTCGTTGGAACATAGACCTCGCACTCTATAATGTCGGGCCATCGCTGGCCGAGGCTACCTTTCACAAGGATGAGCCAGAAGGTAGTTATCGTCCTTGCGTTTGCCGTGCCAACCCAGATATCCCACGGGGTGATTGGTGATAGGTAGGGGGGTGTACTCATGGCCGTGTATGCCGTAGTCGGTAGACCATTGACCTCACATGCCTAGAAAGCCGAGAGCGAGCACGCCGGGTCCTTACCGGAACAGGCTCTCACATCACTAATCTCGATAGTGATAGGAGGAGGGAAAGAACACGCGCTCGCCCGTGTGCAACCCTTGCGCTCTAGCTTGCGCTCAAGCTTGCGCTCTAGTCGTGTTTCAAGCAGGCTACAAGGCCTTGACCGCCCGAAGGGCCACCCATCTCTTCGTCCGCGCCACTACCTCGTGGTTGATTTCTCATGTCCGTGCCCGAAAATGCTAATACGGATTCGGAAGGGTTCAAAGGGGGAGGTAATGCCTGCAAGGGTGGGGATTCCTGAAGGCGTGGCTGAACAACCGACCGACCTTTCCCCTTTCCTAGTCGACGTGGCGAGGATCAATTATTTCTTTCACTAGATGGGCTATTGCTTTACTTTCGCGCCCGTTCGGCAGAGTGAATCACACGTAGGCTGCACCCTGCAATCGGTTCGTACACCTCCACCGGAATAAATACTCCGTGTTGTTGACGGTTTTTTGTCCGCTTGTCGTGTTCGGCCTGCAGCAGAGTGAATACTCCTTGTTGACGAATTTCTGTCCACTCATCGTGTGCTACCTGCACGAAAGTGAATTTTCCGTGTTGTTTACGAATTTCTGTCCAGTTGTCGTGTTCTGCCTGCAGCAGAGTGAATAAATACTCCGCGCTGTTGTCGATTTTCGTCCGTTTTTCGTCCTCTGCTTGCTGCAGAGTGAATATTCCGCGTCGTTTTGGCGATATCTGTTCGTTTCTCGTGTTCCGCCTGCAGGTGTCACTGACGATTTTCGGTCCATTTCTTGTGTTCTTCCTGCTGCAGAGTGAATACTCCGTGTTGATGACGAATTTCTCTCCACTTGTCGTGTTCTGCCTACAACAGAGTGAATACCCGTCTTGTTGACGATTTTCTGTTCACTTTCCGTGTTCTGCCTGCAACAGAGTGCGTACGCCGTGTTGTGGAAGGATTTCTGTCCATTTCTCGTGTTCTGCCGGCAACAGAGTGATAAATACTCCGTGCTGTTGCCAAGTTTCTGTCTGTTTCTTGTGTGCTGCCTGCAAGCAGAGTGAAGATTTTCCCCGTGTCGTTGGCGATTTTCGGCGATTTCGCGAACTCCGCCTGCAGCACAGTGAATGTTCCGTATTGTTGACAGTTTGCTGTCCACTTTTTGTTTTTCGCAGAGAGGAAGAGCTGGATCAGTATCGGGTTATGGACGGCGCCGTGGGACAAGGCGCACCGCTGTGGACAGAGCCCAACTGGCGAGGCATCGGCGCTGAGGTGGGTGGGAGCGAAGGCGAACCAATATTTTCCTGGGTGAAGCTAGGGCTGCCGTAGTTTTTGTTGTTGATGTTGTTGTTGTTGTTGTTGTTGTTGTTGTTGTTGTTTTGGCATTCAACAAACGTTCGGGCCTCTGCTCAGTACCTTCCCTTTCTCCGCACCAGATGGACGAGGAGTGAACTCGGCTGGTGCCACCGGGACCGTTTTCTTCCTGCTCGTATTTGTTTTTCGGTAGACCTCTCTTGCCTCGACTTCAGTACCTCCATCAGATCGACACCAACGCTCGTGATAGATCGACAGCTGTCCTTATTGGAATCTCGGTATTCACTTTCAGGCGCGCCCGAGCGTTTCAGTACTGACCGCAGTTATTTGTTTCCGTTGTTTTTGACCAGGTTTACCTGGACCCAGGCCTTGCGGTGGGAAAGGTTGCGCTTGGTGTTGGGGCGGCGGTAACAGTTGCTGCCGGTGTCGGGTCGTGGGTGCTGCTCCGATCCCTCGACAAGAGGAAGCTTTTATGACCTGAACGCCATTCACATCTTGACGGGGTGCCATCCGCAGGAAAACATGTTGACGATTCTCGATTACTCGACCACATTGGTTAACCGTAGGGGAAATATCAGTTTATGCTTGTCGAGGAATCGTAGCAAAGCGGGTTGGCCGTGTGATAAGTCGTATATCCCGGACTCTCAGCTGTGGAAGAGATCAGTTTGTCGACAGCTTTGTAAGAATAAGAAAAACCATGGAAACGTCTTATCCAAAGCGGCTGTTTCATGCTCTCATCGTGAACACGAAGTGTAGAAGCACGTGCGTTTGTGCATGAGGCAGGCAAACTAGATTTGTAGCGCCGTTCGGAGTTTGACTCCTTCGTTGTAGAAAGCATAGCTCGGGGTGGAAACTCTCCCACAGTGAACAGAATATCCTGCTTTTTGCGGCAGTTCGTTTTGCGTGCAACTGCTGATGTTGGTATAGTCCAGCGCTATATGAAACCGCGGGGCCGTTGCGTCAGAGTTTGAACGGCAACACCTTTTACTTTAGTTGGCCCAGATGGAAGCTCGAGTAGCGATGGCGAGAATGGGCGGTAGGCGAGACTGCTGCAAGCGACGATAGTTCGTTTGGTGAAAACCGAGGGTTGGGGCGAGCTGGTTGGCGTCAGGCGGCACGCGTCTCTAGAAGTGCGGATTCGGATATGAAGAAGTTCCCTTTTGTTCCAGAAGACGAACTCGTCTATGGGTCGAACAGAAAATATTGTATAAATTCAGGATAGGTTCAGGAACAACCGATGCGGTCGTTCAGACTCCTCCGGCGGAGCGAAGACCGACAAGAGCGCAACGATCTTTTCTGTTTCATCCTCATTTGTACCATGTAGAAGTACGCCCAACCTTTTCGCCTGGAGCAACACCTCCATGTTCTAGGGCTGCGGCATGTGGAACCCCATTCTTCTACGCGGAATGGACCTGTTGTACTCTTTGAAAGGTCGCCATCGCCCTCCTCGTCACTATGTGCGTTCCTTTGTCGTGTTTTCTGCGCTTGTTTTACGTCGGATGTGTTCCGGTGTTGGCAGACAACACTGTTTTTTGCTGTTTAGACTGACGATCGAGACTTGTTTGGGTGAGGTTTCCTGCTCGGACCCACACCGGGACGGTGTTCCAGTGTCAGGTATCAGGTATTCGCCAATACGAGCGGCGCAGTTCTATCCCTCTCTGGCGCAACATCGTAGGTCGGTACTTGAACGCCTTACGTGGCCTGCATGCCCTTGGCTATTGGGTGGGAGTATCAGGTGGCGCCGTGAAACTATGCGACTTACTGTACGGGCCTGGGAAATCTGTGCAACCTACGGTAGTCTGTGCGGAACGGCCCCAGCAACCCGAGCGTGGGTCTTGCCTTGGGCTGAAAAACAGGCACGCAATGAATGGATTTCCCGAACAATAATAATCTATGAGCTGGCGTAACACGCCCGGATTAGCTACCGGTTCTTTCCCGTGAAACTTTGAGATATTCAATTACTCCGCCGAAAATCGCCGATCAACCTACCCATAGCGGATGTCAGGCAGGACGCCAGATACATCTGGAAAACACACCGGAGCGTCAGGTCCAACGGTAGGCGAGCGAGTCAGTCAGCGCGTTGCCTGTTATGCAGGTATTGGTCTCGTGGGTATGGGTGGGTCGATTTGGTGAGTCAAGGAGCACCCAGGTGCAGCGTTCGAGTCACGTACAAAGTACAAGGTTGTCTACTGCACGTGTCACGAATGGGTGCTGCGTTGCTGCCTGATACTTCGGCCATTCGAACAGGAGACTGATAGAGGGGGAAGCAAAGAAAGGCGTTTATGAAATGTCAATGCTAGGATTGAACGCAGACACATTGGTAGACATTAAACCAGTGTCGCGCCGTTCATTCTTCGCCAACACCACGGGACATCCTTCACGGCACGGTGATCACCTACAACTCGTTGGTTTTCGCCCTGGGAATCTGGAGTACTGTACCCCGTGGTATCCAACCCCAACTGAGTGTGTGAGCGCGATTGTACTTGCTACAACCTGTTGAAGGGTCTTCGTTGTAGACAAATTCGTAGCTTCACTCCTGCAACTCGTATCGGATCGACCGGGGGTACAAGTTAATATTTCGGTTGCATGAAGTCCATCCATAAGGAATGTAGACTAGACTGTACAATCACCTTTTTCCATCGTTTAGCCGCGGCTTGTCGACCGCTGACAACCTTTCTAATACTGGACTCCGGGACCCTATACATGGTGTTCGGAGAGGCCTCCCCTTGCTTCTTGTCGCAGTCCTCTCCACCGCCTGCGACGGCATTTTCCCCGAAAGTCGCGAGACCATCGTCCTGCCCATCCTCACACTCCTGCCCCCCCGAATGACAAGGAGGAAGGCCAAAGGGCAATTGAGCGAAGTCCGAACAGGGAGGCAGAGAACAACGATATACTGCGGGCCTCACAGAAAGAGTATTCACGACGAGTGAACCAGCAGATAGATGAGGTTAGCAGAGAGGTGGGACCGGAAAGCATGTATCGACTGCCTACTACTGCTGTACACGAAGTTCAGGTCGAAAATTGCATTACACGAATAACGCCATGTGCAATGATATGTTTGCCTGTATCTCGTTGCCTGCTTCTTCACGTGTACCCTTCGCTGCGTGTAATCTGTAGGACAAGACTTTCCAACTCAATTGTGCATTCCAAGGCCACACTCCTTCGTAGTGGCATTGGTCCCCTCACCGGCTCTAGTGCCACGTCGTATACCGCCTGCTCGAGATGAACGTTGACGACTGTCCCCCGAAGCCACATCATTGTCCCTTCCAGCTGGCACTCCACCATGTCTCCCACCTAACGTATGGTAAGAAGCGCTTGTGGCTGGCGTTTCATCCCGCGAGATAAGAGCTTGTTGTGTTCGTCGTCGAAGTTTATCAAGTAAGGCATGCACGGAGCTACATGGGCAAGGGCCAGGGATGGCGACAAGAAATGACTGGTTTGCTTCAATGTCAAATTTAGATTGACACTTTACAATTGATTACTTCAGATATCCAACGGCTTGATTGTTACTAGCGCAAAAAAAGAATAAGTAGAGGAGATTGTTGGTCGGCTTATGACCGCATCTCTTGCCTACGCTGAACGTGAACTCCATTGTCTCCTCAAGCATACCAAGCATACACCGGCTCTCTGTTTGTTCAACATTTTTGCTCCCTCATTTATGACCGCACTTTCGGGCGGCGAGTACTGCAGTTCGTCCAGCATGTTGTCAGTGTCTTGGTTGGTGTGAAACAGGAATCGATGTGCTTCATTCCGTGGGAAGCTGAAGGGCTACTTGGGGCGAACACGACTCGAACAAGTCCACACCAGGCCTTTCGTAGTCATAGGATCCGAACCACTTGTGAATTCTAACCAGAAAACGAGGTACGTCGTGACTCAACTAACACATGGCCGTACTGCCGCTGGCACGGGCCTACGCTGAAAACGTCGAAGTGGAACATACCGTACCTCTTACGCTCAACCACAATTGCACCATCCACAAATCATCCCACCATGGACGCGGACATCTCAAAAACGAGACTTGCCTCAATACAAAACCACGGCATAACCCTGACGACGTCATCGATTCCGACCGTGATGTACTGCACACCGCCTTCTTCGTCCTCGTCATCTCCACCTAGCTCCACCTGGATATGGCGTTTTGGTGGAGTTGTGGTAGGTGGGGGGACCTCGTTACTGCCGTGAACATCTTTCATGTGCTCTGTTGCCACCGAATTTGCACCCTTGCGCAACACTGCCGAAGAACTTAGGCCTCCCCGACGCGGCAACGGGTCGTCGATATTTTTCTTCGGGGTGGGATCAGCACCCTGCTTCAACCCTATTCCGCGCATTCGCCGATCATTTCTGATCTGAGTGTGTTTTCAGCATGGCTCGTCGTACACGCCCCCCTGGTCCGCTGAGAACGCCACGCGCTTCGTCGCGGCTTTCTCGGAATGCGAGGTCGACGGTCTAACGACTACGGCATGCAGGGCTATGAGTACACCCCCACGTCTGACAAGTCCCGCCAATAACTGGGACAAGTCCGATGCGCCCCAAAGCGTATCGTAGGGCGGCAATCTCCTGCTTGATTTTTCGACTACTAGAAGGCGTATCAGTTGGACTCGGCGAGGCCTTTCGTCATATCGTCCCCGCGTGTTCCTCGCCTTTTTTTGGTAACCCGCGTCCACGGATGCATCCACTTGCCGGTGAAAGTGGGGGCAAGAGGAGGGGTCCTAGGCGAAGCGAAGAAACGTCTATTAATACGATGTCAACGCCAATAACAGTGTTCCAGGGGACACTTACCTCAAAGGTAGATTCGTCGTGAATAGCGGCCAAAACTCCCTCAAACCACATGCCGTTGAGCTCCTTGTCCCTATCAAATGGTCATTCACGCGTCAATGATTGTGCAGACGTGTAATTTTTGACCGGAGGAGGCGTTATTGTTTATAACGTCAATGGACTTCCACGTGGAGCATGTTTAGTGTGTAGAGGAGTGCTCAACTATGCGATTGACGCCAATCGTTCGATGTCCGAGACCCATCGGTAACCCCGTAGTAGGTGTTGTATGCCTACCGTTTCGAAAACGCCATACGTAAACGCCACTACCACCACCACCACCACCACGCCAACGCCAACGCCAACGCCAACAGCAGCTGCAGCAGCAACAGCACAAATGCAACAGCAACAAAGGCAGCAGCAAAAACAACTACTGTACTCATAACAACACGACTTCCAGGCCCAGCACCACAAGTAATACTCACACCAAATCGTCTCCTTACTACCCTCGTGTTTCACTGAAAACAACCACACCGCGCTTGCCTGACCCTGACGATATCCCCTACACAGAGCTCGTTTGGGGTCTCCACCTCCTCGGCGGCTTTTCTCCAATTCGGGACCACGGCCGATCCGCGCTTGCCGCTATGTCGACGTGAGTCTCCACCCCCATCTGTGCGAGAATGGTTCGGGAATGGTTCAACGGGGTAGATGTTTGGCCAGACCCCCGACATGTGTCTGAACTTGTTTGTCAAACGGCATGGAGGGCGGTGAGAAGTGATCTGGAAGCGACCTTTGGCTCGTTCCGAACAATCAACTACTACCTGGTACGCCAATGCGCTAATCGCGTTTCATGGTGGACGGAAACAAATTCTTGTCTATCGTTGTACTATGCATCATATTACCACTCTCTCTAAACGCGCATTTCACCATTGAACTGAGGCGGAACCATTTCAAGAGTCATACTGGGCAGCATGCAAAGCGATGGTCGCCAACGAAAGTGGCGCAAGAGTCGCTTCTGCAAGTCAATCTATAAAATACATTTGCACTACCATGGAGACCCGCTTGTATTTGATCCCAGCGACGGGAACGCAAATCAAATATGGGTATCGCCTGTGTCGAAGCCCAATAGTCGAACATTTTGCTATAATTCGTTTCACCGAAAATTGGGGTGGAGGGCGTGGGGCGGGGGGTTCCAGGGAACATCCTTGAAGAAATGGCTACTGTCAAATAAGTCAACCAAACAACGCCGGTCGCCCCGATAGTCTAGTTGGTATTCTCGAAAACCTGGCCAGGGTCAGGGGTTCGACTCCCGGCGAACGCGAGCGTTTATTACAAAGTGAGTTTTTCTCGTCCTTCCGTTCCTGGCCTAGGTGGAAAGCGTTGCATATTTCGCGTGTACACAGAGGGCGGAGCGTGCTGCACAATTCTCGCAATGCATCTCGAAGGCAAAGCACTGCAGGACCTCTTTCTCTGCGACCACGCGCTGATGTGAAGTAATGAAAATAGAACATGAAAACCAAACAACAACAACAACAACAACAACAACAACAACAACAACAACAACAACAACAACAACAACAACAATCAAGGTCCGAAGGTGTTTGGTCCAACACCGGGTGAGCTTTGTGTCTTTCCATAGTCGGGGGCGGGGGGTGCATTCGGCACCTCCTTAGAGCTTTATCTGTCTACATGCGCTTTCCCCGGACATCCAAGGAAGGCTTTCCGCTGTTTTCAAAATTAGACGGCACCAAATCACAGAGAAGAAAATATGCTTGATGGAGAATGCGCCTCTAGCCAAGGTTACGAACGAAATTCCTGATTTTCTGAGCTCTTCTTCCCCTCTCCGAGTGCAGGGTAGGGGGGGATCTCGCAATGTTGACACAGAATCGACCCAAGACGGACAATGCGTACTGGAAATGTCACCAGACAACTTATGGCACCGCCCTCGTGCCGCACCACACGGGAATCACGTTCGTGAAAATCTCGAGGAACCTTGTTCGTGACTCGCGAGGGGGCTTCGCTTTTCCTCCTGCCCCACCAACCCATCTCTGCAGCTCCCAACCAGCCCGGGGTTGTCTGTCTCGACCTCACCCTCGGCGAGGGCGCCGTCTCGTGCCCCCCGCCCCCTCCGGCCAACCTCTCTCTGCAACTGACACCGGCGTGTGTTTTGCTCTTCCTCACCGTCGGCCGGAGCTCTGTTTCCCCGTTCGGCTTGAAGATCGCTACCGCCGCCCCGACCGCTTTCTCGATCGTCCCCGCCGCTTTCGGGTTCAACAAGGTACGACAAGCGCGTGTGTTTCGCCTGAGGCCTGACCCCTGTGTCCCCCTCGCCGGAGAGGTCCCAGCCCGATTTTCGGCCGCTCGAAGCGCCGGTAAGGGCCGCGGCGGCCGCGGCTGCCTCCCTCACTCTCACTGTTGTTTCGGTGTGCCAAGGACAGCACAATAGCAGGCGGCGCGCGTCAAGCTGCTAGTACCCGTCGTGGAGTTATTATAGGTGTGACGAGACAGTACACCCGAGGCGATCAAGCAGAGACAAGCAGCTGGGTGGCCTTCTTCAACACCCGTTTGTACGTCGCGTTCCTACGACGACGCCTTCGCTGGCCTTCTCACGGTGGGAATTCTGCACGCGAAGAACTGACGAACCCCTCCCCCTCCACCACGACCGCCCTCTGCGGCGATCGATGGGCCAAAATATCGACAACTTCCAATACACCATCGCGTGTTACTGCAGCACCCAAGCAATTTCCGAAGACTTTTCCGAAAGCATCGATGTCAAAGCACGGCCTTTCCCGCCGGAGAACAGGGACGAGGGTCACCTTACAACGCCGTATCTTATGCGGAGCTTGTTGGCGTCGTTTCGTGGCGCGTGAGCTAATGTAGGTACTGCGGACGCGGAATACATGTATTTGTCTTAGTGGGTTCTGCAATGGCAAACGTGGGTTGTAGTGGTAAACCTTCGGGTGCTCTCGACCAGAACAAGCGGAGCGGTGCTGCTGCCACTGCCACCGTATATAGCGGCCATCCCGATTCGAAACACTACCCCAACCGTCTCCACCCTCCCCGTGTCACTCGCATACCTTCTGGTGCAGAAACTGAGAGGTTTATTTGCTCGTTGGAGGAGCACGCCGCTGCGTCTGCTTCCCCTTTCTCCACCTCCACACCTCGCTCTTCTGTCGCCCCATTCTCCACTCCCCTTGCCACCCCGGTCGTCTCTGCTGCGGTGACTGCCGCCGCCGCTGCTTCAGCCTCTCTTTCGTCGAGAACCTCGAGCCACGCTTGCTTCTCTTCCTCGGCGAGGTTGTCGAGATCGCTCCGAGTGTATTTGTTTTTCAGGTCCTGAGAACGGTGTATGCATGGGGCAATAAAAAGGAGTATCCGCGAAGGAAGCGCAGAATTGTGATGCCGCTCGTTGGTAATGACTTCCAAGCGTCTGTGCATTGTTGCCAAATCGCCTCACCCAGGTGTACCCGCTAGACCCCACGACAGGGTGGTACGTCTTTCATCGTTGCATGGTTGCTAGACAAATTCAACAGACGGTGGTGATGATGCGAGCGTAGTCTTCGTCGTTGAGGACGAATCGAACATGACTTGCGGAATAGACTATACACTGCAATAATCCGAGAAGTAACCTTGAGCAAGCAATACTCTGAAAAGAGACTAAATAGCTGACTTGGGTGTGCTGAAAACATGTCTTTGTGTCTGTTTTTGGAGTGACACGTATCACCAGCGCCAAGAGTAATAACCCAATTCACGTTTGTTTGCATACGCATGAGGAGGGAAGTGGCCTGACCGGTGCAACCCCGGTGGTGAATACACATCAGCCTTGTAGGATTACTGCTGTTAGACTAGCCTGACGAATGCATCCGCGACTGTCAGTTGGACAGGTACGGATGCTACTTGTAGCAGGTACTCAGATGAGATCGGAAAGGTATCTTGAACACATCAACAGCAGCAAGCAATGATTGAACGCAAACCGTTCTCAACAACGACCGCTCTTATGTTGCTAGCAGACGTGCGAACCTCTTTCAGCAAGTGAACGCCGACCCACACACAAGTGTTCCCTTTGAACCAAGGAAGGCTCTCGGAGAAACGATGATCATGGCCCTGTTGCTGCACTCCCACTGCTTATCACCGCCCGCGGCAATCTCCTTCAACACTATACAGTACAGGAATAACGTGTCAGATATCTTTCTCACGTGCTGGATACAACAGTGCGTTTGACCAATGTTGCCCTTCAAGGTTGCTACTATTGCTGTACGTATGTACACAGCAGTAGTAGTCCACGGTAGACTAAAAATACAAAGTACCGTAGACTACAGTTGTAAACCGACATACACAATGTCTACCCACCGTTTCCCAGTGAAGCCGTCATTTGAACCAGAATCTGTTAATATGGTCGACTTCAGGGTACCCGGACAACCTCCTGCTATGTTGCCTCATTTCGAAAACAAACGCAAGAGCGCCAGAAAATGCACTAGAGACACATAAGACCAGTCGGAAGGCATCGCAAAAAAAACAAGTCCAAAATTCTGGCACAGGGCAGCAGTAGAGACCGCTCAAAACCTGCTTTTCGCGCGTCTACCTCCACACGCATCCTTTGAAACCAAGATAAAATCCACACCATTCTAAATTCAAGTCAAAAGAGCCCAAACGGAAGGCGCTCAAATAAGGCCGGTGTTGCTAGGAACCTGGTCCATTGTACCAATATCACTAGAGGACACCCTATAGCAGCGGGGGGGTGTGTTGGCGCGCTCAAAACTTCTTCTGTGGTGGTGGAATCGAGTGTCGTTGTAGTGGCCCACAATCTCCGCAAATCTCCGCAAGTTAGATCGACACCCAGTGTCTTGTACTGCTTGTGCTCGCCGCCACTGAACCCAATCTTCTGAACTGCAGGTTTACAGCAGTAGCTGATGCCACCAGCTACTGCTGACAACCCGCAGTTGAGGGGTTTGCGGTCCGTGGTGGTGAGCACCGCTGTGACAAGTGTTGGGTTCCGCTTGGTTCCGGCGCAGATTTCGGACCGTTTTCAGAGGCTGCTGCGACCTTCGATATTTCAGCCCCAGTAGTATACCTGAACGTGCCAGCACGCACGACGCCTCTTGATGATATCCTCTACTGATACTAGCACAACGGACCAGGTTCCTCCGGCGGGAAGGTTGTTTTCTTTCTTTGTACTGTTATCAAGTATGAGAAACGAGCCAGCGTCAAAATCCCTCATCTGGGTACCCTTCAGAGCTCACAGTCGTACGTACCTCGTACAGGTCCCGCCTTTCCTGCAGAGGCATGCCCGCGGAGCTCGCACCGGCCCCCATGGACACTTATTTGTTGCTTTGAACCCTTCCAGACTCAAACTCCCTCCACGTCCTCCTTATGAATGAAGGGCTGTGCCAAGTGTACTGCTCCGTCTATGGCCCTCTCTATACCAGGAGTCCAGGTGGTCAACGTGGTCAAGGTGGTCAAGGTGGTGAACACTCTGGGGACTACTGCGTGTAGACTTGCACCACCTTTGTCGAAGTTCGGCGGACGCTGAAGTCACGACCGATCTATCCTCAGCCGGCCGCCGAATTTGCTCCGGTCGCGACTCTCCGTCTCGTCGCCCCGAGTTCGTCGGCGGCGTGGTACAGCACGAAATTTGCGGGTGGCGTGTCGGCCTCCTTGTGTAGAGCATGGAAACTCCGCACGAGTTCATTTACAGTGAATGCGTCTATTTTGGCACTAATGTACCGCGCTCTATGCGCGGAGGTCGGGGGATGTAGGGCTGGAAAATGGCCAGGAACATTCTCGGTGCCGTTTCAAAGGAGTTCAGAAGAGATATATGGCGTTTTTTATTTTTTTTTCGCATGTTTTGCGATAGCTCTGAGCGGTCGCCACGGGGAGCCCGAGATCGAAAGAACAAAACCAAACGCGCTCGGTCAAACACGCATGTTTGTTTGACGTGGTTTAAGCGGAGGCGCTAATGGACGCAATATAGTTCCTGCCGACAGCAACGCGCGAAAGTCGAACGCATGGCAGGAGGTAGGGGGCTTATCGAGGTGGATGGTAGATGTGGCTGTGAGTTGGAGACGCTTCGGTCGTGTCCAATTCCATGTTGAATTGGTCGTTGAACACAGAATCCATGTTATCTTTGGGTAACTGGCAAGTGCCCCAGGCTGGGGCGCTGGAGGAATGAGTTTCTACCACCGCAACGCAGGATAGAGAGGTAAAATATTTGATTATTTTCAACATCGAGACGATGGGAGATGGGGCCAGGATAATGATGTGCCGACTCCCACACATAGAGGTCCGGTTAGCGGGCGCACCATGCTTATGCATGTAGTCAAAGGACGACACGCAACGCTAGGGGGTGGGGTTGTGTCTTTTCCTGGTGAAAGTACTGGATCCCGTGACTTGGCCCTGTCACCCCAAGTGCCCTCCAGGCATCAGTAAATCGAGGGTCGCTGACAAGAGAGAACGTTTGTATGGCCGATTGGGTTGCTGTTGTATTGGCCCTCTTGTTGAAGTGAGACTTGCTGTTGTGCTGTCTCCATTGGTCGGCCGTTTGGCGGGGTTTCGCATCATCAGCAAAAAAAGGTCCATTGGTGGGCCGTTCGGCCGGGTTTCACAGAAATAAAGAAAGGGGCACAACAACACATTGGAAAGAAAACAGGCCAAGATTGGAGCACAAGGGTTGCGGTAGGGTAGCTATCCGCCTGCCGCGCATTGTGCATGCTTTTGATTGAGTGGTTCAGTACTTATCGTTGACTGCGCGACTGAATCTGCGTGACCAGGTCGTGTTTGCGACTGGGGGGCAAGAGCACGAAAAACAGCGGAGCCGCCTACACACGCTGCGTAACCCAGTCCTATCGAAAAACACACGGAACCCTAAAGCTCAACGTAGGCACGACCAGAAGGATTGTTTAGGAGCAAGAACATGTTCATAACAGCGCTGCGTAACTCCTCATGCAACGGTGAAGAAGGTGCTCGAATCAGAAGGACAGGTGAAGTCCGGACGTCAAGCGCAACCCAGTTCTTGATGGTGCTATGCATACCATTTGTGCGGCTGTCTCTGCTGTTGTTGCTTGCGATTGTTGTCAACAGAAAACACGGTTCCCCCTGGTACCTTCAAACATCCGTACTGAGTCCAACACACTGACAGTGGAGGGGATGAAGAAAGGCCTTCTACAGGAAGCTTGACACACGACCAACGGTGCATCGACTGAAATGATGGCACGCTCTGCATGTGTTTATTTAGCTTCTTGGCTCTTTTGTTGAAGACAACATCGTTCCAACTGGCAAAACAGAACCAACGAGTCTCGTACCCGCTCCAGACCATGCCAACAAAAGACCACCGGTGCTCATCCGGTAGAAAGGATTGTCGTCGCTGTCTTCACACTAAAAACTGTTCCAGTCTCCGCTCAGTGCCATTCTGACGTCCGTACTGGTCCACAACTGACGCGGACGCCTTCAATGGTCACGGGCCAACTACCGCCCAAAAACGGGGTTCACCTTTCTAGAAAACATAAAAAAAAAATACCGCAGGAAAGTCTTCCAAGACAGCAGTAGTCAGCACATATCGGTGTCAGACAAAAACACATGATTCACAGGTTGCGTGAGGTAGACAAACTACTAAACAAATAATGAAAAGACAGGCGGAAGTGGATCCCGGCCCGAATTACCCGGCCCTCGAACTTCCCTTGACTTGCGCAGCTAAGTCCCAATCGTAACAGACCTCCGTGGTCAAAGGTGCTTCGATGCAACAACCAACTACGGTGAGGTCCAGATGATGGTACCGAATACGACACAAGATAACACACCCCCTGGGCCGATTTTGAGACCTCCATTACGCCACGACGAAGAAAATGCATACACGAAACGATACGTTGTCCCAAAGCTCTCGACGAGACGGCTTCAACGCCACCGTTCTCGGCGCTGTGACTCTCTCTCTGCTATTGATTAATCGAGCTTCGAAAATCGGTCCAAGGGGTGTGGGTCTTGTACGGTACTCCATTCGAGTCTCGGGAAACGAAAATCAGAAACCAGCGACGGCATGTTGTACACAGAGTTTCGTGTCATTGGCAAGGACACAGGATGGATGACCAACCGGGTTTGCCAAACACGTCAGACCCAAGCCCCGAAACGACCACGCTCGGCACCAAACACACACACATAAACCACACAGCAGTAGTACACTAAATACTTCAGAAAGGGAAACAAAAATGAATCACACAAGAAAGAAAGGGAACTTCCCAAACCTTCGAGAGTGGTTTAGCTTAGCCTTGGTGGCGACGACACCGACCCCCGGAGCTACACCAACCCTCTCGGAACACAACCAACCGCCACCGACGTGGGTCCGGTCGAAGCGTCGAAAATACAAGATAAGCAGCACCACAACGTCACAACGAGAGAGCCGCACGCTGCCAAGCTTATGTCGGTGGCATCCCCCGCACCATACCAGCGTCACACCAAGGATCCCTGTGCCCCTCTGCTCGCGGGAACTCAAAATAACCTCCGTACCGCATCCCCGGCATCCCCGGCTGCCGCCCTTGCTCCGTGGGGGACGAGTGAGAACGCCATCAGTCTCAAACCCAGGGGGAAGCCCGTCGTCTAGCACTTCAATCCTTGGAACGGTAATGCCACAGGCAGACCAGTTCGCACTGCCGATGTGGAGAGAAGGTCGTCAATTGGGCGGGTGACCTGTCCTCAAGCCCCCAGAAAATCAACCCAGGGTGGTGCGTCCCAGCAGCAGAGCCCCCTTGATCCTGCCCTCCGTCGCGACGCGGACGCTGAGCGTCTCCATCAGCTCCTCCTTGGTGGTGCACAGCGCCACCGCCTTGTCGAGTAGGGCCGTCGCCGCCTCGGCCTCCGCCATCTCCCTCGCCACCATGATCTTAAGGTTCGCCAACTGCACAAGGGCGTTCTGTGGTGGCATGCATAGGGGGGGGGGGGGGGGGGGGGGGGG